TATGTATATTTATCATTTATTATTCAGACAAATCTGATCAATTCCAGGGGGTTGAATACTTTTGCAAACCACTGTAACTATAAACAGATAAAAAGTAAGTATTTCTTCAATTAATAAAAAGATAAAAAGTTGTGGTATAAGAGGAATAAAACACGTTGGTACATGCTGATTGGTACCGTCATTGATTATTTTACTATTACATTACATTGTGTTTTATTCATTACTTAGATGTTTTAGTGAAAAGAAAACACTGAAACATGATTGTTTTGATTTTGAATTTATTAATTGTCTGACTTCTACGGGCTCATGAGGTACTGAAAACACAAAGTGCTTAATGCTGCTGTTATGCTCCAAGTGTAACAATTAGCCACTAGGAGAGACAAAGTGAAAAAGGAGCAATGAATAAAAATTTTTTAAAAAAATCAGCAAAAAGAAGTTAAGTTATGTGACAAATCTTAACAGTAACAAATGCATTCTTAAAGCTTGGCTATTCCACCGGAAAATAAACATAAATAAGACTGAGAGTGTTAAGCTTGCTGATGGTATATGCATTTTAGAGATAAAGAGGCCTGAAAGTCTCAGGAATGGAGAAGGTGATCAGTGATGAAATACAACAATGAGCTACCATAGTTTTTCTTTGGATTATTTTTCAGACCGATTAGGCCTAGTCCAACACTGAAAGAGATTTTCAATGGAGAATTGCCATTTATAGTGACTTAAATTCAAGACTAGGTTGAATCTGAAAAGGATTAAGGCAGAAGATGATGTGCAAATCAGCCTTTGGAATAACAGCGGTACTCTAAAAGGCTTCTTCAGTTAAGTGGGGGAAAGTTTAGGTGTGAGAAAGCAGTGCACCATGCAGCATGATGACATTATTCCAGAAGAGCTGTAAAGTTGCGTGATTCGAAGGATATTGCACTAGGAAGAATAAATGTACTCTAATAAAAAATGGGACTTTAGTAAATGAATAAAGAGGCATATACCATCAGTAGAGCTTTTGTAAAAAGAGGATGAAAACACAGAAAAAGACATTAACATTACAAAGAAACACAGAACTTTGTAAGAAAATAGATTATAAAAGTCTCTTCTCAGCATTTTTGAATTACTAAGCAAATATTATATATACCCCTTAAAAAACAGAAGATGATTAGGCAGTGGAAACATCAAGGTGAATAGCAATGCAAAGTAAGGTTCTATAGTGTCATTTTCATGTTTACCTTTTTTTGTTTTTACTTTTGTTAACAAAAATAGAAGCTTTGAGATACTCTGAGATAAGATTAAGCCAAGTGGGCCAACCAAGATTCAGAACACATGAAGGAAAAATATATAAAAACAAAAAAGTTAAAATCAACAACCTCGATTTTGGTATTTAAAATGGAAAGCATATATAATATACTTTACACACCTATACAGCTGAGCTATTATGTACAAATGGTTACAGATCTCACAGTTTATATACACAACATGTCGGTAAGGCATGGACTCAGATGTGCACCAGTACAAGGACATTTAGAAAACCGATAAACCATATATGTGATTTTTATAGACAAACGGCAACCAGTAACAACTTCCTGTCATTGAACTCCAATCCTGATAGAGTATTGCAAGGGCCACACAAACTTCACTTTCAAATTGTTCAAATCATTTTGAACATTAGTAACAGCACAGCAGGGCAAAGACTTAATAAATCAGATAATAAAAGATTTCTTCACACAAATCCACCTTTATTATGGTGGTCAAACGTGCATACAAGCTAAATGCTACATTTCAAGCAACGCCCAAATGGCAAAGCAATTCAAATTTATAGACTATCCCCGATGAAGATGGTTTTAATAATAAAGAGATTTGGGGGTAGACCCTTTTCATTTTATCAGCAGGGCATTCTTTGGGAAACTCAGTGAAGTTTATGTAATCCACAACACGCCAGGAGTATCCTTCCCCCTAACTACAGAATCAAATGTGCAAAGATTGTTGGAGAATAAAACAAAATGTACAGACGTCTTAAATCTTAAATAATCCCCACTTTTAACCACGCACTCTCACAAAGTCCTTGCGACTGGCCTGGATCTGTGAACAACTTTAAGAGCGTTTCAGTTCTGCTATCCTCCGAAGGAGCTGTTGATGCTTGTTTTTGAGCTGCTTCTTCTCCTGGGCTTTTTGCTTATCGGTGACATGCAGCAGACGCAGGTACTCAGTCGCCTTGGTCAGGATCACCACCTTCGGCGTCTTTGGACAGTCCACGAGGCCAGGAATCTCATCTCTCAGGGCCAGGAAGCGTGAACGCAGGTCGTTGCGTCTCTTCCTCTCCAGGAAGTTGTGGTTCTTGCGTCTGTCCATGTCCTCGCTGTCTGAGCTTTGAGGGCTGGCCGGCTGCGATTTGGGGCCATGATGGGATGAGGCAAGAGGCGGTGAGGTGGTCATGGAGTGTGCTGGAATGGAAACGGATGCAACAGGTGAGTGTGGTTTGCTCTCGAATGTGTGGACTGTGGGGCCTGGCCGCGTCTGGGAGGTCTCCTGGCGGATCCTCTTGCGAGGGGGCTCTGAATCGGGGGACGGGGCGGCGTAGTTGTGCTGCTGTTGGTGGATGGAGATGTGGAAGCGCTTTGTGCCTGGGTCGTGTGGGTCGGCGCGCACCGTGATGGTGACCGGCTTGCGTGAGTTCACTGGCCGGGACTTGCCATGCTTGTGTTCCACCGTCACTACGTCAATCTCCTCCTCATCTAAAACAACAGACATTACAAACCATTTAACCCTCAGCCCCTTACAATAAATTATACAACATTCATTTAAGATGTATTGACTGATATAAAATAGGTTATTTAATCCTGGTCTTATGGTCTTATTGCATCCATTGACCCATGTATCTCCTGATCAAGCATACAGCAACATAGCTATTCTGTGGGATGTGGCACTGCCTTGGTCGGGGTTACTATAGAATACCAAAATAATAAACACTGGCCAAAAAGTTCTCTTTCCTATAGCAGGTTTCTGGTATGAATCCAAATGCATTCAAGACCAACAGCTGCATCATAACTTTCAAGTTTCCAAAATTACTACACTATTTGATAAATGGATTTATTCAGTGACACAAGGCAGCTTAACTGAATCACATGAAAATCATGCACAAGTTACAAAAGAACATTAGTAACTTGATGAAATATTCATTGGGACATTTCACTTCTGCTGACCTCTAAAAGAACCGCCTAGTTTCAAAACTCTTCTTTAAGGCAGGTATTTTCTGTGATTAAGGCTTTAAAAGGCTAAGAAAAAGCCTTTTTAATCTGTCTCACAAACATACTTTAATCCTCCACTAAACCTATCCCGGACCTTTCTGGATCTGGTCCTCCACAACTCATTCAGTTCAGCCACTTCCCATTGGCTCGTCTTACAGCCATTCACTCTCTGTGCCCCGCCCACCAGTAAAACAACCCATCCTGTTGTTCAAGCTCAGGAATGTAGGACCATGGCACAAGTCCACAGAGACATTCCACAAGGAGCCCGGAATGATGTCAACCTCAAAAGCAGGGCATCGGTGCATAAATGGAGTAACACCTCTGCAAGATTCTCACATATTACCTTAACTGTTTAAAGAACCAGCATGTTACATTGAAAAGGACAATGCTGACCAGATTATTGACTCACTTGTGCTTTAATCTTAAAAGACATGTCACCGCTCTTTTCAGAGGTTTAATCAGAATTAACAGGTCTTCAAGACCTGAACAACTAGATTCCTTAAAATTCAGCACAGCATCAAAGCTTAATGACTCTTTAAGCAAGTGATCACTTGAGAGTAACACATTTCACTCTCACTGAGCGAGTCTGTGAAAAGTACTGGCCCATCACAGATCTAAACAAGGTCAAGGACTCTGCACCTACCAGATGAATCGGTGTGTGACTCAGAGCCAGAGGACACCTGCTTCTTGCAGCCGCTCAGTGGGAAGGTCAACACAGCCGCCGGATCCACACAGTCCGCCATCGGACTGCTGAGAGATAGCGACTCCACATGACCACTCTGTGACCTCGAAGAGGGAATCTGGGGGACGAGAGGCACCTTGGCCCCACCCTGGCACAACATGTGCTCACTGACAGCCTTCTCGAGCCTCTGAGAGGCTGAAAAGCCGCTCCACATGCAGTCCTGTATGATTATGGAGCTCAGGTTGCACTGTGACTCATGCTCATCGTCCTGGCCCAGGAAGTGGGACACCCACTCGAGTTTGTCCCCCAGTGATGGACACACAGATGTTTCATCCAGCCTCCTTACAGGAGACATGGGCGGTGTGGGCACGAGCTCGAACTTCTTCCAGATGTCCTCACTGGGTGCGAGCTCGAACTTCTTCCAGATGCCCTCACTGGGTGCAGTGGACTTAAAGAAGTCTTCATCTGCATCATGGTCGTCGTAGAAGTAGTGTTGGTACTGATCCGGCTCCTCCATGTCCCAGCATGTATAGGGAAAAGGGCTCGCGCTGATTCCTGGCATTTAGAGTCTTTCAGAAGTGAGCACCAGCCACAAGTCAGAACAAACAAGATCTAAAAGAGGAAAGACAAGCAATTCATTAATAACTGCACTTGATGATCGCTAAAAGTCATCAGTCATCAGTGTGTCCTAAAGTAGCCTGTCTGCCAAGAGAACAATTTTCCATTGCAGGTTCGTAACAGGTTCACTGTCTGGAGGATATTTGTTTATTAAAATAATGCAGCAGCTAAACAAGCATTAAATCTGTTATTCAGATGAGCTTGGTGCAGTCACACTGCTCCCTTAAGCATCCATTCATCCTCTGTACTGTTTATCCTACACAGGGTCACCTGGAGCCCATCCCAGTGGACTCAGGGCACCCTAGACAACCCATCATAAGGCACACCTGCACACACTACGGACAATTTAGAGATGCCAATCAGCCTACAACACGTCTTTGGCTACAGAAGGAGTGATATTAGGAGGTAACTGGGGTACCTGGAGCGAACCCCCGAGGTGGGGAGGGTATGCATTCTCCCTCCCACACCCACAGGAGGCGTGATTCGAACCTGCGGCTCGGAGGTGAGAGGCAGGCGCGCTAACCACTACGCCACCGTGCCCCCTCCCTTAAGTGTGCCTCTGAGAAATGTTAAATGAAAAGTTTCGCAACACATTTTTAGATTACACAATACAGGCTACACCGGGAAGTGGGCTCAGGCTATATACAGTAACCGGGGTTCAGAGTTGATGCAGGAAAACACCGTTCTTCCCCCCACAGAACCATTTACTTTACTAACCACAAAGACATTCAACCAAGCAGCACACATAGCTAATGATTTCTCGCCTTTCACAAGCTTACCGTAAGATATTCTCCAGAGTCTGTATCCCGCAAGACATTGATTTGAGTTGCGAAATTCCCGAGTGACTGCGCCGAAAAATAGCACTCCTTGTGTACCTCAGTTTCTTCACAAAGCTTTCAGTGTCATAAACTCAATTCACCAACAGAAGCTTCCCAATAAATAAGCTTTACAGCGTCCTGGAGAAAAATGTCTTTCTTGCGTGCAGGTTTCTTGGTGCAGCTGATCCGTGTTTTCAGTTCTCTTTCGTCCAAGCTGATGCAGAGTATTAAGGCTGGATCTAACCGGCGCTGCCGCTTCTACTCACTATGGATCCGTGAAACAACTACAGCTCTGTATTATCCGGGCGAGCAGGCGCGCTCATTTACATAAAGGGCTGGTAGTATTCGCGTAGCCACGCCCATTTAAAGTGACAGGCACGGAGAGAAAGAGATGAGCGGGTATAATTCATTCACTCATATGAGCGGGTATAAACATTCGGCTACCCTACGGAGCCCCTAAAGGGACATGGTGATGGAAAAAATATGAGATGGGAGGAAAATTTATATTTCAATGCTTTTGCGTTCCCCTGAAAACTTTGTGTTCTCTCGCAAAACTTTTGCGTTTCCCAGAGAAACTTTGCGTTGTCTCGCAAAACTTTTGCGTTCTCCTGAGAGACTTTGCGTTCTCTCACAAAACTTTTGCGTTCTCCCAAGAAACTTTGTGTTCTCTCACAAAACCTTTGCGTTCTCCCAAGAAACTTTGTGTTCTCCCAAGCAACTTTGCGTTCTCTCACAAAACTTTTGTGTTTCCCCGAGAAACTTTGCGTTCTCTCACAAAACCTTTGCGTTCTCCCAAGCAACTTTGCGTTCTCTCACAAAACCTTTGCGTTCTCCCAAGAAACTTTGCGTTCTCTCACAAAACCTTTGCGTTCTCCCAAGAAACTTTGCGTTCTCTCACAAAACTTTTGTGTTTCCCCGAGAAACTTTGCGTTCTCTCACAAAACTTTTGTGTTCCCCCAAGAAATTTTGTGTTCGCTCGCAATTTTTTTTTTTTTGAGACAATGCAAATATCTTTGAGAGAGAACGCAAAAGTTCTGCAAGCAAACGCAAAGTTTCTCGGAGAACGCAAAAGTTTTGTGAGAAAACGCAAAAGCATTGAAAAACAAATTTTCCTCCCATCTCATATTTTTTTCCATCACCATGTCCCCTTAGGGGCTCCGTACCTATCAGGGGTACCCAGTTAAAATTGGTAAAGGTCCATTACATAAAATTCCTTGCTTACAAATGTCTGGATAAGCAACCAACACCAAGTACCTTCTAATGCTTAACCATTAATGAAGAGTTTATGGTTATAAATAAGACAGTTATATTTTGTTTCATAGTGTAAACACATTTTTTAAGATGATATGAGGTTTGAATTTGATGCAGATTGAATAAATACATCCACTGCTGTCCAATCTAACGGAATACAAATATTCAGTTTTCATTGTCAAGTTTTTTTTAATAAACTTAAAATAACTGTGAAAACTCTCCCATCTTCGACCTAATGTTTTACCCCAGTCGTTAGTCTCTGGTCCGATGAGCTGCCTTCAGCTAAATGATTTACATAAATTCATGTGACTGGATAAGCCGCAACAGAGCTACAGAAGCCATGCTGGTTTGTTTAGAAAACTGGAGTCGCTAAACTACAGCCAGTTTTTTAAAATATGTTTATCTGCTACAGTATTTTTTCAGGTACTCGGTTTGGTCTGCTGATACTTTGCTGGGTCTGGAGGTTGATGACACCTGTGGAATCAGATCTGTATGGTTAAGTGATTGAGGGTGTGTTCACACTTGAGTCCTCTTTAAAAGAACCAAACTCAGACCCCTTGAAGTGGACCAAGTGTGAAAACACCCTGAGACAGATATGCAGTCTGTTGTTTGTTGTATCACAGCAAAATTCTTCATTTCTTCAGTTATTCATCTGCTCAGCGTCAGGTATTTTTCAACACCACTCCTCTCCAATACACGCTGGCCTGCAGAGTTTGAAATATTCCCAACACAGCTGTGTTTGGTGTGTTTGGAGCGATGCAACCTTCAAACTGTGCAACACAGACAGTCCAAGAATATAGGACCCCTTGTCATATTGTGATCAATTATTGAATACTTGTAATTTCTTTCTCCCTGACTAATTTGATAAACTAGTTAGTATAAATACCTTTCTACCTATTACTATTCTTACTATCCCCCCTTACACCCCCAAGCCCCCCCCCCAAAAAATTTATGACAGTTCCAAATTGTTATTCGTGGGTGGTTAATATAACACGCAGCTGGTTATATACAGTCCAGTAGCTTTCCCGCTGATCAGGATAGAGCAGCTACTGGAGATGAATGAAAGAATGTTTGTTTTTAAGCCATACAAAACCCAGAATTAAAAACTAAGTTCCTGGTTAAGCATAGGTGTTTCATGCAACTTGTATCTCAATTGATTTTTACACCAGCAGAGCCAGCAGAGCCACATTACATCCTGCTAAGATGAACTTCTAATTTTGACTATAATCCCCCTTTGTATTTGGAAAATGAGGAACTAGGAGATGGTGCTAGTTGTCTGTATGACAATAGGCATGTGTGTGTGTGTGTGTGTGTGTGTATGTGTATGTGTGTGTGTCTGTGTGTATGTATGTGTGTGTGTGTGAAATTCTTTCACATTATCACAGTTATGATACTCGAGGTGTTAATTAAGAAGTCTGTCCAGAAAGCTGTGCACCAGTAATGGAAAAAGGAAAACTTGAATGGACACCTTGAGTGAGGAAGAGACACAAAAAAGTCTCAGATAGGATCTGGTATCTTGAAGATGTTTAAAGGATTGATGTACGGAGAAACGGTCATTAAAATATATATATATATATATATATATATATATATATATATATATATATATATATATATATATATTTTATTGTTTTCAAACGAATGCTATAACTGATTGCTTCCTTTATGCTGTCTCGTCTGGTCAATGCACTGAAACACTGTCTGTTTTTTTGAACCTTTGAAAGTGTGTTTCATTTATAGCCATCTATTATTTAAAAACTGAATGTACAAATGAGTCAGTTGTATTACTATTTGTAAAGAACAATACCAATATAAATGCTAGCTAATCATTTCTAATCCTTACTCTGAAACTTAGCTTTAATTGTAACTGTAAGCATAATTAATTAATGTAGTCTACTTATAAAGTGCAAGTGAGGAATGGCAAAATGTGTACGTGTGTGTGTTTTTTTTTTTTAAATTGGCATATAATAAATAAAGTATTTTGACTCTGGTTGTGATGAATCTGTTATTCTATCTTCACTGTGGTGTGTATATTCAAGGATCACTCACTGCCTTTAGCTCGAGGCTCAAAAGGACACATTGACAAAGTGCACTGAATGCCATCTGGTGCCTTCAAGCCCTGAAGATATAGCATAAGAGGTCAAACCAGAGGTAATGTCTCTTTCAACCTCATGACTCTAAGACTGTGATCTGGCCATTGGATCTAAGGGCAACAGGGGTAGTTCATACCTTCCTTTCTCTAAAACCCAGATTTAATATGAAATAGTGCCAAGGTGATTTTCTTTAATTATATATTCAAGTAATTAAGTCAATATTTATATTTAACTCTTATTCCTTCCTGTATAGTCATATGTACAATATTTATACCCTGTATGTATATGTACATGTCTATGTATGCGTACATATACATGTATGTGTATGTGCATGTGGATGTATATGTATAATAGCTTTCAGCAGCCCAGCCATCACAAAGGTACAACCAAGGAAGCTGTCCTGGGCCCAGGCTGGGTGAGGGGCCCAGAAGGATTTAGTAATCCTATGCATTGACATGCAGAATAAACCCATCTGAAATATGCCTGTGCATTGTTTGCAACTCATTAGATAAGTTAATATTTCTCCTGTTTTGTGAAATGATTTATTTTGGAGCATTTCACAGTCCACTGAAAATTTTATGACTAATTACAGTGTGTAACTAGCTATTAGTTACTTTCTTTCGTGCGAGTTTGCTAAGATGTTGCATAAGTCAGATGCACAAAAAAGAAAAAGGGAAGAAGGACTGGTAAACTCAAGGGAGTGCATGGCAAAATTCTTACAGTAACATTGATTGTCACATTAAAATAAGCTATAGTTTTATTATGTGTTACAGCCATTTACATATCGCTGATTGTGTACGCATGTATCCTTGGGGGCCCATTTTAGACGGTTTGTCCTAGACCCAGGCAATATGTATAGCGAACCTTTTTCAGTGACAACAAACACTAACACAGCAAGTCCACCAAACCAGAACACCAAAATGTGATGAGCCATCTGTTTTACTTTTTCAAAAGCTCTACAAGCATTTGCACATGCATGTAGCGTGAGGTTACCACAAACACATCTATGCCGGTTTTTTACAGATTGAGACCAAAAATATCACCCTATTACCCAATGAACTGGATGTCAGCTGAACTGCCAGTCAGCTGTCATCAAAACGTACTCTATCCCTGCTTTTGCAACTCAGTTTCCTCACAGACCCATGGATCCACCCAAAAAACCCTGCAACAACAGCCACCCTCTTAACTCACTTCTCCTTCTCTTACACTACTTAACAGAGCAGATGGGAATTGCTGATTTCCAAAAGCTGGATATTCACACCTCTTTTATCATTATCCAAAGTACTTTTTTTTAATCATGCATTTGCTAATCCTATTTCAAAGAACTGGATTTTTCTGTCTTCTATGGCCTGAAATGACCCGAATATCTACGTAGACA